CGCATTGGGCTCCCTGCTCAGTGGGAAGCCTGCTTCTCCCTCTCCCACTCTCCCTGCCTGTGTTGTCTCTCTCTGTCAAATAAATAAATAAAATCTTTTTCAAAAAAAAGTTGCTAAGAGAGTAGATCTTTTTTTTTTAAAGATTTTATTTATTTATTTGACAGAGAGAGAGAGACACAGTGAGAGCAGGAACACAAGCAGGGGGAGTGGGAGAGGGAGAAGCAGGCCTCCTTTGGAGCAGGGAGCCCGATGTGGGACTCGATCCCAGGACCCTGGGATCGTGACCCAAGCCGAAGGCAGATGCTTAATGACTGAGCCACTCAGGCGCCCCTAGATCTTTTTCTTTAAAGATTTTTATTTGAGAGAGAGAGAGAGAGCATGAGTGGAGGGGACGGGCAGATGGAGAAGCAGGCTCCCCGCTGAGCAGGCAGCCCGATGCGGGGCTCAATCCCAGGACCCTGAGATCATGGCCTGAGCCGAAGGCAGACGCTTAACCGACTGAGCCACTCAGGTGCCCCAAGAGACTAGATCTTAAAATCCTTATCACAAGAAAAAACGTTTTTTTAACTGTGGCGATGGATGTTAACCGACTCGCGGTGATCACTTTGCACACGTATGAACGTCAAATCAGTATGTCATACACCTGAAACTCATGTCAATTACACAATAAAAAATGATAAGATTTACCACTTAACCTCAGACTTGACCCAAAATAAGTCCTTCACAAATCCTACTACTTAGCCTTTTGACATCTGCATGTTCACATTGGGTCATAAGATCCAGGATCCTGAGAAAACCCCATTTTCTGCGTGAACGCCTGCTCCCCAGACTCTGCTCACTTTTTCTCTTCTGTAAACTCTGATTAAATTTATAGTTATTAGTCACAAATTTATAATCGTTAATTGCAACTTTATTGGGTAGACTTCACTCTCCAATATTGAACTTCCCATTCTGCTTGAGGCGGGTAGCTGTTTCAGACATTTTCCTTTTATTAATACTCTCCCGATATCTAAAACAATGCAGAATGCACAAGATTGTTTTCCTTTATTTTTAAGAAATATTTAATTAATTTATTTGAGAGAGAGAGCACGGATAGGAAAGGCAAAGGCAGAGAGAGAGAGAGCATCTCAAGCAGACTCCTTGCTGAGTGCAGAGCACGACAGGGGGCTTAATCCCACAACCCCAGGATCATGACCTGAGCTGAAACCAAGAGTCAGACGCCCAACCAGCTGAGCCACTCAAGAGCCCCAGGTTGTTTTCAAGATAAGTTCATTCCAGTTGTAAAAGTCACCTTAAACACAGGACCCAAACCAATGTTATTTCAGTAAACACCTTTCTAGTCCTGTCTCCTTCACTATGTATCTGTTTATATTTTGATTTAAACATGATGAAGTCTTTATCCAATAATATTTATTGAATGAGTTACATTAATTATTCCAGTTTTGGCAAATGTATTTTACTTCCACAGTTTTTCATGCCACCAGCCAATGCGGTTAAACATATTTTCTTTAAGGGGCACCTGGCTGGCTCAGTTGGTGGAGCATGTGACTCTTGATCTCAGGGTCGTGAGTTCAAGCCCCACACTGGACATAAAGCTCACTTTAAAAACAATTTAAAAAATACAATTAAGGGGCACCTGGGTGGCTCAGTCGCTTAAGCATCTGCCTTCAGCTCAGGTCATGATCCCAGGTCCCTGCTCGGTGGGGGGTCTGTTTCTCCTGCCACTCCCCCTGCTTGTGCTCGCTCTGTCAAATAAATAAAATCTTAAAATATATATATATAATTAAAAAATTTTTCTCTAGCTAGGGCTGGGGAGAGGGAAGAATGAGCTATGAAAAACAAAACAACTACAAAAACACAAAAAGCAGAATAACCCAAGTTGATAAAACTGCATTAAACCTTTGAAAATTCATGAGTCTATATTTATGCTCAAAAAAGAAAAGGCCAGAAAAGAAAAAACAACACACAGTAATCTGTTACACGTGAAACAGCTTTTAAAGCAACCCCTTGCTTGTACAGTCGGGTGGAAGAGAACCGAGCAGGTGTGTCCCGCCTTCCCCGTGGGGCTGTGTCTGTGAGACACGAGCAGCCCTGATGAGTGAGGGGGGACCTACCACCTTCTAGCGGGGGCGGGGGGGACTGGGAAACAGAAGACCGCCCCCCCCCCAACAGCTAGTTCAGGCGGGAAGGGCCCGTCAGGGCCGCAGAATGGTCACATCTGCCGCAGACGGGAAAGCAGTTAGGGCCGGGTTCCCCGAGAGCGCCCTGGGCCTGTTGGCTGATGAACACGCTTGTTGCACCTGGAGGTGAAGATTTGAGCTGCTGATGGGGGAATGAGGATGGCGCTTTCCGCACAGACCCCCGCCTTCTGCTCTCCTCACCGGGGCTTGGCTTTAGAGCATGTGGTCTCGTGGTCTCGACGCTTGCTACTCCTCCAGACCTGCAAAGGGAGCTCATCTTTGAGGCCATCAAGTGACTTCTAAGTAATGTGACCTCACATGGACGTGTGGGGACCTCAGATGTAAGGACTCGCGCTTCCTACCTCACTAGTCTGTAAAAGCCCCGTACAGAAGGATCCGGAAAACCCCTGTGGAGCCAAGCTGCGGGTGTAAAAGGTCCAGGAGTGACAGCGCAGCCTGCGGTGGGCAGGCGGGACAAGGACCTCCCCCCTGCCGGGCGCCTGGGACACGGTCCAGCGCTGAGGTGCAGCGCTGAGCCAGGCCGAGGGGCAGGGGGGGGTCAGGAAACAAAAGGCGGTTGATTCTCTGGTTTCCTCACACCAGCCACAAGCGCCAAGTGCAGCCCGTGCCAGGACACATTGTGCAGGAAGCACTGGTCGATGGTCACCTCCACCCCAGGAAGCTATCACAAGAAAGGAGACGCCTGTGTAGCCAAAACCACAGCACGTTAGCCACGCCAGCTCGTGCCAACCTCACCTTGGAAGCTTGACACAGCGCGTTTGTGTCCTCACCACCTTTATTATTGGAAAGGAAAAAGACTTTGAATCCTTGTGTATTATTTCTGGGGAGAACATTATCGGCAGTAATGAAACATTTGGAATATGGCCTACTGGGCTTCTTAAGGTAAATCCAGTTTTGCCTCAACCCAATCCCGTCTTTGCATTTCAGTGGTGGGGCCAGGGCTCCTGCGCCCTGGACCCAAGCAGGCTTGTCGCCCACACACCGCGCACCTGCTGAGGATGTGGGAAGGGACCGGAGCTGTTGACCACCACAGAGCACACTGCCCCGAGCACAGAGCAAACACCACCTTTTGTGATCACACACCGCAAACGTCCCTGGGAGGCCAAGCCCTGCCGGTCCCGGGATAAAGGCAGGAGAGCTGGAGCTGGCCCAGGCCTCCGGGTCCCTGGTGCGAGCACGGCGCCCGCCTCCCGAAGGCAGGGAAGGGCGCGCAGCTGGCCCGCAGGCTTCTCTGGACAAGGCTATTACCTGGCCTGAAACCCTGTTGTTAGAAGTGTCCTTTTGCTAATGAGCGACATTGGCAATTGTAAAGCAACCAAGAACAGTTAAAAACACAAAGGAAGCCTGCTCCGGACACTCTCACAGGTGTTGATGCTGGGTGAGATCAGGCACCCGGCCCCAGCAGCGGAGCGCTTCCCACCTTCTCAGGGCTTGTCTCCCTCCGTAAACCCTTCGCGCCGGTTCTCACGGTCTCTCCGCTCACCCATTCCCCCGCCTTGTCCCTGCAAGCACTTGGCTCTGGGCCGAGGAGGCAGACACTCAGGAACTTCGGACGCTCTGAGGGAGCCTGGGACAAGACCGGAGTCCGGTGTGGGCCCCTCGCTCCTTTCCATGGGACGGTGTCTCTCGGCTCCCACGGGGCACGGGGCTCTGGTTCCTCGTGCGACTTCTGCATCTGCACGTACTTTGCTCCAGAGGGCTCGTCTGGGTCCCTCTGCAGGTTTCCCGCTCGCGTCAGAAGCACCTGTTGGGGAGAAGTGACCTTGCTGGCCTCTCGGAGCGGTGGGGGCAAGGTCCACCGCAGCAGCCCGCAGACTCGGCACCGCGGCCTTTCCTGCTCTCCGTCTGCACCGCGGTCCGTGCGGCTCCTGGGGCTCCAGAGGGGTGGGGAGAGGCCCTTGCTCTCACCAGCACACAAGCCGGGCAGACGGGAGTTCTTCCAAGGGACAGAAGAGGAAGACCCCAAACCACAAAAGCAGCGCCGGCTGGCGTGGGAGAGGGGACCAGAGCAAGGGCCAGGAAGGCTTCGGCTGATTCTTTCGGCGCCCCTGCAGTTTGCGTTACTTGCATTCGAGCAGAAGGCGTTCGTTGTGTGAACTTCACGAAGCCGGTCCAGCGTCTCACCCACCCCACCCCGGGTCAACTGCGGGGCCCTGAGCAGGCGGAGCCCCGGGGCGGCCGGCGGCCCCTCCCCCACAAAGGAGAATTGGCGCCAGTGCCGTCTGCCCGCCCCCCCCGCCCGTGTGCGTGTGCGGCTCGGCGCCCGAACACAGAGGCAACGCTTCGCGAACGGCCTCCAGCCGCGAAGAAAAAGCGGCAGCAGAGAACGGATGCCGGGGGCGCCCAGGCTGCCCGCGGCCGC